ACCAGAAGCTGACATAGATGTGCACATGGCTACTATGCCCGACAGCTCCGCCTATCTTTGTGAAATCATTCCCATAGCGTGCCCTTATTCCGCTGCTATAATTGCAAATGCAATAGAACCCATAGTTTCCTCCAAAATATGTAAAATCAAACAATTTTACTATACATAAGCGTTCCATGAGTGTTTTTTTTATTCCTTTCCACTTTGTTTTCCTTCATTCAGCTGTCTTCGAAAAACAACTGACAGCTGGCAATGCTGCACATGTTTCCGCAAGGGTTGCAGCATTTGAATTTTTCGTTTTTCGTAGCGTAGCTACGAATTACGAATTACGAAAAGTCGGGTTCAAGAATAAGGGGGATAGTGAAAACCAGTCTTAATGAAGTGCAAGTTTAAAACGGCTAAAAAAATCCCGTTAATTTCTTAATTTTTTTTTTTTTGGTGACGGAGTTTTGCACTTTTTTCATATAAGCATGAATTTCCTATGAAACAAAATGCGGGAGACCGTTAGCAACAAAATTTCAAAAAATTTACGCCATTTTTTTGTAAATTACACTTGTTACATAAAAAAAACCGCAAAAGTTGTCTCTAAAAAACAATAATGAAAAATCAGCGCGATTTTTTAGCTGGTTGAAACTTGCACTTCATTAGGCTTTGACATTGTATGGGCTAGAAAACTGCATACCCAAAAATGTTGTAAAGATTCAGGAAAAAAGTTGAAATTTTGTGGAATTTTCCTAAATTTTGTATTATGATTGAAACTGTGATTTATATGCTTTTTACTACCGGGCAAAGAATTTTGCTTTCAGCCCCTAGGTAGCGACGCCCACGTGAATTACCTTAGATGAATTCGTCCTATTAAAATTAAGAATTTACGATATTAATAATGCATCCCTGTAGTATCTAAGTCATTAGCAAATAAGTTCAAGATTGACATATGAAATAAATGAGATTCTTTCTTTCGCGCGCTTTCAAATCGAAAAGACCAAGTATTTTGTAATTTATTATTTGCTGCGACTTGTTGGCAAACAGCAAGTGCCAACCAGTGGCCCTAGCAACAATTGCTTCCGGTGTGTGTTGGCAGTGCACACCACGAACCGGCAACACCAACAGCCTGCAAGCAGTAGGCCTTGGCCGGCATTAGCGCCGGCGGAGCACCAGGGCTCCGCGTGAAGTCAGGCAGCAGCACTGCCCATTACGGCAGCATAGAGGGAGCGCTAGGGCTCCATGGGGGCAGGCGTTGGCCGTCAGCAGCGCCGGCGGAGCACCAGGGCTCCACGTGAGTGAGTTACACAACAGGTACGCCCCCGCAACTAACGATACGTTAGCAAATATAAATATGCGGATTTTTGAAATATTAAAAAGTTAAGGCGCAAATATATTTAAAGCCAAATTTATGATGTACGTTTTTAAAACTTTATTGAATAATTTTTATATTTCTTACTAGCCAATGCCCGCCTACTTCGCGGCGCCTAATAAGAGCTTTTGCGTTGGCCAATAAAATTAGTCTGTAAAGTCAAAATTTTTGATTTAAGTTGAAACCACTAAGGCGTAGTATCCTCCTCACACATAGGCCAATAATAGTAACGCTGTGATACCATATGGAATACCAATCCCTTTCGGTGCCATGAGCTTTACCGATGGTCTTATTTCCACCTGTGAGATCTCTGCCAAGCATGCGTAATCTTTTTGTATGATCTTGCAACTACAACATTGGTGCGATGCGCATGCCAATAACAGTTCTTATAGGGAAACTCAAGAGCACAGAAGTGCGTTTTCTGTTATAGGAGGGCCAAGAATCCTCGGTGTCCCACAGGATGAAAAGTTTTCCGGTACATTGCTAAATGAGTCGAGCGATCTCTTAAGTATCTTTTAAATTAAGCAATTGTTATACCTACGGTGATCTTTCCTTGTGAATTCACCACTTTTACAATTCGTGGTAAAATTTATGAACTGATTTCTGGGTAGATGCAAGACCGCATGATCGTGCATGAGGGCGTCAGAAAACTTAAACCTCATTCTTCATTTAGACAGCTGAAAACTCATATAACTTAAACATAGGGCCAAAGCAGACCAACCACACGGGGTTTCTATACATTTCGGCTGCAGCGCCATCCATTGGGTTCATTTTCTGCAAAACCATTGCTTACCATAAAATGAATACGTATTATGAATTTCAACCTAACTCCAGCGGCACTAATCGGGTAAATTGGTATCAAAAGAATTTTCCATCATACAGGTACATAGCTCACATTTAAAATTTGAACGAAATCGGTTAATAAATAAGATTTTTATAAATAACTCTACTCCAGCACCACCTAGCGAGTTTTTTTAGTAGCTTGTAATTGGACCGTATATGTATGTAAGATAACCTCCGACAATCTGACGGAACTCTATTCAGTGGTTTTTGAGTTTATTCCGAACAACGAAAACGGCTATCATTTTATGCAAATAGGTATGTAGATAGGACAGTTTATAGCGAAACTCGTAAAAGCAAAGCTCCATTCTTTGTGAAAAATTTAAAAAAATTCTTCAAAATTTTCACATAAATACAATAGTTCAATGGGATTTAGAGATCTAGGAGAAAATGGTTCCCAATCGAATGATACTTGCGCGTTTACGTAAATGTATATCGATCCAGCCTTTCCAATAATTACCACTTTTCGCCATAACTACGGTATTGATAACATATGTAGCTGTGTAGAATTTCAGGACGTTAGCGTAAGCAGTTCCAGAGATAAGCTATATGAGAAGTTCAGTTTGTATGGAAGGAAGGAGCCACGCCCCTTTCCCAATGCATTTGCAATATATGCATCAGTGCTAAGTTTCAGTTCCCCAGCGTAATTGGTTTTGTATAAGAATTTTAGGAATATCCCGAGCTACATACCGAGTAAATTTTTGGTCAGAATATTTATTTTCAAGGTGTTGCCAAATATGAACCAAGTCGGTGCAGCCGTTTAGTAGTTTAGTGAAATACATTGTAAAGAGAACTGTATGAAATTGTAAAACGTGACGTCTCAGATTTATTAATTTTTTGGCAGCAACAACGAAAAGTTTTAATTTTTTTAGCGAAAAACCTTCCACACAGAGATATAAAAAAAATAAGTTTGTTGTTATATCAAGGCGAAATTTTGAGAACGGTCCGTTGCTAACTCTAAATATAACAACGACGCACTGGAAAAAGTTAATACGTTCAAATACCTAGGAATGATGATCGACGATAAACTAAAACAAAAAAAATGGATTCTATATTTTCAATTAGAGCTCTAGCAATATGTACATCGGTAAAAACTGCATTTAATTCCATACATTAGCTTTTGCGTGATGCGCTTACAAACATACAGACAAACATACCGAAAATTTAGATTTGGCTTCTGTTGATTTAATAAGCCCCCTATTAATTTTTCTTTAATATCTATAAGGTACAGACATCGACCTGTTATAATTTTATTATATGTATATCTTGATTTAGATATAGATTTCATTTATTTTATCAATTTAGTTCAATAAAATTTTTCAAATAGGTGGCAGCCCTCCCTAAAAATATTTTCGGCAATAAAATTTCCTAAACCCCTTCAGTTTGATACCCATATTGCAATATTCAATTTATCTTATAAATTAAATTAAATGTAAATTTTCAAACAGGCGGCAACTCTAAAATAGTATTTTTGGCTGTAAGCCTTCCTCAGCCTCTTTCTTTTGACGCCCATATTGCAATATTCATTTTTTCTTATAAATTTACTTACAACTCCAATTTTCAAACAGGTGGCAACTCTCAAATTTTTTTCTTCCTATATTTTAAGTTAGACCTCTAGCAATACATCGGTGAAAACTGCATTCAAATCCATGAATTCATTTTCGAGTGATGCGCGAACAAACACAGACAGACAGACAAAAATTCTAAAAATGGTTGATTTGGCTTCTGGTGCTCTAATAAAGACCCCCCACATTAATTTTTCTTTAATATCTATAATGTACAGACATCTACCTGTTACAATTGTATTATATGTATAGATTAGAATTGAGTTGAAATTTTACAGTTATGTGAAAATTGTAAACAATTGTTTTGGGTAAAAATGTGGTAGATTTTAAGCCTTGTATGGTAGATGTGGTAGAAACCCAAATTTAAAAAAATGTGTGGTAGATCTACTATATATGTGGTAGGTTTGCACACTGGTCAATGGCCATAATACGGTGTTCGCATGAGGCGATTTCCCAGGCAATTTTAGAGGCGATTAGTTGAATCAAAAGTTGACTGTACCCCAACTTCATTGGAAGTGATTAGTTGAAAGGCCGTTCACATCAGGCGATTGTTTCTTTCGCACGATGGTCTTTCAAGACGGTTTAATAAGACTAGTGTTAAAGAGCCAATATTAATATGGATAATCCTGCAACCGATAATCCCAAATATTTAAAAAAAATTATTTTGTCATTAATCTGAAATAAAAAAATTATAAATCGGAAGAATAGAGAAATTATCAATCGGAAGAATACATGGTATAATACTAACATAAAAAATTAATGAGACCTTGCATTAATGCGTTTACGACGACAGCTAAACTTTTGTTTGGGGATTTTGTTAGTAAATTTCGATGTATATATTTTTATTTACTTGTTTGCATTTGACATTTTGTTTGTTGTCAACAAATATTTTGACGCTTAATTAAAAATTTTCCAATTTGCTTCCATACTCACTCACAATAGTGCCATAATTGAATTTGGAAGCACCTTAAACAGTGGGATATCGTTACGTCGTACGACCTGCGTTGTTACATTACATGTAGTTTAAATGGGTCTTCTTCTCGAATTCGTATCGAAAGGATTGGAGCTTATAAAGCCCCAACTTTACGAGCTAGAATATTATTTGTGCTTAAGTTTAGAATAATGCATAACATCGTAAAAATCAAAAACAATTTTTTTAGTTTTATTTATAACTGAAGTTCATTTTTCATATTTACTATTTCTTCTATTCAATAAACACAAAATAATGCATTTCGTTACAGGTAAATGCAGTGATACGTACCGCCGATAAGTCGGTTTCTGCCGAAATAACTATTCTGGCGAACGTAACCGATAACCAAGCTCAATATCGCTGCGAAGCTTCTAATAGCGCAACCGAAATTCCACTCTTTGAGAGCGCTATTCTCAGTGTCCATTGTAAGTATTTTATTATTGCTTATAATATGCAGATATTCGTGGTAAATTTAACGCTCGTATCTATACCTTTTTGGGCAGTATAATACCTTTTTTTATTCCAAAAATTAAAACTTCTTTTTTAAAAAATACTGCATTTATACTTTTTCTATTTAAATTTTTTCCTACACAGAAGTAGGTAGTATAAATTTATCAGTCGTATAAGGGCAAATCTAAAAAGTGTACCTACTTTCCAAAACTAATTTTTAATTTAAGGGCTTCAAAAGTTAGACGAGGAATAAACATGAAATAGAAAACAAAAGAATAAGCTGGGTTCAAATTACGCTATTCGAGTTATAAATTTTTAGCAAAGATTTTGAAAGTTGAGCTCACTTAATTGCGACGTTCTAAATTCAATGGCTCCGGTTTTCGAGAGAACGGTAGTTGAAAATTTGATTAAAATTGAACTATCTTATAAATAGCTCCCTCAGTTTTTAAGTTATTTTACTAAAATTGTGCAGATAACGGATTTTTAATATTATCTTGATTATTCCTTAAAATTATGGAAATGGGTTCACTTTAACATATACATAGCTCCAATAGAACTGATTACACAGATATGTGTTTTTGCGCTATAACTTCAACTTCGTGACTGAATAATAAATTGTATGCGTGCTATATTTGAATTTGAACCTATACTAAATTTTTACCTGCTTAATTGGAGGAGTTATATCACAAAGCAATGTGTCTGAACAATCTGTTGTATGGGAGCTAGATGTTAGAGTTAACCTATTTCGACGATGTGAAGAGATAGTGAAGGAAATATTAAAAAACCACCGTGTGCAAAATTTTAGTTGAATATTGTCAAACTGATGAAGTTTTTTTTAGAAAATAGTTCAAAGAGTCAATCGAGCCAAACTGGGGACCAAGGCCGTATTTAGGGGGATGTAGGTGTTCTGACAAATTTGAGTAGTCCACTTGCAAAGGCGCTATGTAAATTTTTTTAGATTTTTAGTTTTTGGTGAGTAACGTACCTGTCCCTGTAGGGAAACGAACTAGTGCGGAACTGGTTCGGTTCTAGTGCGTTTGGAACCATGACTAGTACGCGTTAATTCTCTTTTGCATGCTTGCGACTGGCGAATTTAACATTGCGATGTCCTAGGAAGGTCAATTGTACCCCGTTGCATCCCATTGGCTCTAGTTCCGAACCAGTTCTAAATTCGACAGATAAGATCTAGTTCGTTTTGCATCCCTTTTTCTATAGTTCCGAAGCTGTCATGCTTTCGGAAACCGTCCAAAGCAGTATCGTGCTTTTGGCAGTCGATCAAATACGGCGGTTGCTGGTTTCGTGGACGATCATTCGGAGTACAGATTTGCCGAAGTCAATATCAGTATGAGCTGTTATAAGCATCGTTCACTTGTGGTGGCTGTATTTGCAAGACAGCACGCTTTGCGGTGGTGTTCGTTCATCCTCCGTTTTTAACGTGAGTAGGCTTAAAGTCACAAAAACAGCACCCTTTGCCAATCCCTGGTGTCAAGTTAGCACTACATACCATTTTTTATTAAAAAACGAGAGCTACAAATTTTTTCTTTCCACAACAAATTTACAACAAAAACACTACAATTAATGCCGTAGTTAACTTTTCCAATTTCGAAAAGTGTAGTGCTAACTTGACACACGTACACTAAACACTAACAACAGGTAGAAGGGGAGGATAAAATAAACTAAATAGTAAATTTTTTCAACATTAAATTTTTCGACAGGAAGCGTGGTTTTATTGTTTTAAATTGCAAAATATATGATTTATAAAAAGAATTAATAGCGAAAATGTTAAAAAACGGTGATTTTTGTGAAAGTATTAGCAAATTTCATTGCATATAAAGTTTCTAAAGCGTTGTTTACTTTTACTTGAGAAGTATCAAAATCGGCAAATCCCAGTAGCGCTTTCTGGAACGTACCATATTTTTTCGCTACATCGTGATATGATAACAAGAAAAGCTGGTAGCACTCCGCAAGGTTGCAGAAATCTTTCAAAATATGTTGGAAAAATATCTTGATATGGAAGGAACTGCTTTACAATGTCAAGGAAAAATTTTTCCAAAACTCAACGCAAGTTGCTAATTCGATTTTGCACTATATTATACTAAAATTTTTATTTTTTTGATATTCTAATTAAAATGTTTGCAATTTGAGTGAAACCGTGCAGAATTTTTTTAATTTATGTACAAAGTTTGATCGAAAATCTGAGATCTACCACATTTTTTTTTTGAAATCTACCACATTTTTTTCCCGATTCTACCACAAATTTTTTTTGAAGTCCGATCACTAACTGTAAGCTATGCGCTGGTGTTAGTTCATCCCCCGTTTTTAATGTAAGCAGGGCTCGAATCGTAACAGTCGTGAACGAGCAACTCGTCACGTAAAAATTACAAAATCGGATTGTGACAGACGTGAGCGAACTTCTAATATCGTAATTCGGTATTATGACAGGCGTGAACGAGCGAGTGAACGTACTCGTTCGTTCGAACTGTCATTCGATTAATATTTGACTAACGTACGCGCGCAAAATTTGATAAAATTTTTTGAAAAGTGTAAGTAATTATAAAATTTGTGCAAACATATACAAGTTCATAGCTATTTTTCTTATTTTAGGACCAACTACAATAAATTAAACTCTACGCAGAAGGAACTCATGGCGGAGTTCATGGCCGAACACCCTGACTTGGCAAAGAATTTACTCCCAAACTGCTCGCAGGGAAAAGCAACGGCCAACCGTTTGTGGGAAAACCTCACCAAACAATTACATGTGGTGGACCTTTTCAGGAGTCATGGGCTGCACCTCTATATTGACAATTTATGGCAAGAATCTTGCAAGTGTGGTCACAAATCTGGCGAACGGAATATTAGCAATAAAATGTTAAAATGAAAGAAGAGAAACTTACTAGTATAACGTTAAGACTATGGTAATATTTCCTGTTGAAGTACATGTGCTCGTCTCTAATTGGCTTTTGTAATCCAATGTGTGTTCCGTCTACGCATCCAACCACTAAAAGGAAAAACATTGGATTCACTACGCATTTCATTAGAACGCCTCTTCCTACCTCCAGGTATTTTATATTTTTCCGCAAACCGCTCCTTACATCTTGAAGATTCGTTGGGCTGGAACTTTATAAATTCCGGACACAATTTGCTTTCTATTTCTTTTAAGACGTTGGACGTCAATTTTGATTCCGTGCTCTGGCACATACCTATCAGGTAATCGCTACCAACTGTTTGCTGATAGCTACCACTTGCAAGGAGCGAGAGGCTTGCAGCCAATTGCAAAGCAGCAGGAACGGCTTCTGTGTCATCGCAGTTGATGTTTGTTTTCGATAAAACATACTGGAATGCCTCCTTGATTAACTGAAATCTTTTGATGAATCTGCAAGTATGGGAGTAGAGAAGGTAATTTATTTTCTATGTATAATTACTTACGCGTTGTCGGATAATGCCAATGGATTGCTTCTGCCCCGAAGTTGCTTACGCACAACTCTTTTGTCATTTTCGCTTTCGCTAGAGCTTAAATAAAATAAAAGGCTCGGATCCATTTTAGTTTTGCCGCTTTTCTTTATTTACTTTTCACTTATTTTGACACTTCAATGTCTATTGTGACTTAAAAAAGGAAGAAGAAGAGAAAAATAATCGATAACCAAATAAACAAAAACATTCGTTCGCCTTCGATTGTTATCATCCGATATTGTTCATTCGATTAAACGATCACGTAATTTGTGTTCGTACGATTGCCGACTCGCTCACGTCTGTCACGATTCGACCCCAGGTTTATAGTCACAAAATCACCTTCGTTTGCCAGTCTCTGTTATACACCCGCTTAATAGAGTCCGACCGATTCCAATTTTTTTTCAGGTACCGATGCCGATGCCGATTAATCGGCTTATGGGGAAAGAATCGGCCGATGCCGATGCCGATTACATAAAAAATTACAAATAAGTGTATTAATTCATAAAATCAGTTCATTTCACGGAGTTAAAAGAAATAAAAAAGGAAAGAAATAATTGAATTAATTGGCTTGTTATGCAACATTACATACACATGTATGTACATACAAACATATGTATGTGTAAAAATATATGTACATATGTCACATTTATGTACATTACATAAAACACTTTTTTTATGGTGCTAAGCAAAAAATATTTAGGAACATAAAATTTCATTTCGTTTTGTACTAAAATACACTCTTTTGCACTCAATGCATAAGAACTTATATGCTAGGTATGTATGTACATAGTTACATATAGTGGTCCACAAAATAAAAGAATTGCGATATTTTGACCGATTTTGTCTTTTTTATTTAATGTTTGTTATTTTTTTTATAAAAGTCTAGCTGGTATACAACAAACACCATATAAATTCAGACTTCAAACTTTGTACAAAAATTAGAAAAATTCTGCTTATTTTCACTAAAATTTCAAACTTTTTAATCAGAATTTTGGTATGCAGTTTTGTAGACCATTTCATTCTAGTATAATGAAGTGCAAGTCTCAAGCTGCTATAAAATCCCGTTAATTTTTGGTAATTTTTTTTGCTGGCAGTGTTCTCCATATAAAAGAAAATTGTCGCACATACTTTTGTATGGAAAAAACGTGAAATACCTTCAACAAAAAAAAAAAAATCATTTTTGTGAGCTGTCTGCAAATGTTTTTTAATGTGGGCTGTCGCTTCACCTGAACATTTGACAAGAAATTCCAAAGAATCGGCGAAAAAAGGCCGATGCCGATGCCGAAGCTCAATTTTGTGCCGATACTAGCCTAGTACTATAGACTATATCTAGTCTAACGAAGCGTTGTTTTTGTCTAATTTTGACTACAGAGAAATATTGGNAGAAACGAGATTCCAGAGAATCGGCGAAAAAAGGCCGATGCCGATGCCGATGCCGATGCCGATGCTCAATTTTGTGCCGATACTAGCCGATGCCGATTAATCGGTCGGACTCTACCGCTTAATGTAATTCACATAAACAAAATAATTGTTTGTGGTGCTTTTAGAGTTGCAGTTGACAAAACAAACCTATTTAAATATATAATAAGATGGAAAATACTAGTTTTC